GCCTCGCGGCTGCCCCGAGGCTTTCCCGGCTTGGCTCCCGCACGCCCCGGGGCCAAGCACTCCTGGCATTTTCCTTGGCGTCTCGCCGAGGCCACCCCCCCCCCTTGGGGACGTTTGCCAAGTCCCACTGGGACTTGCTTTGATGCTCAACGCTCTGAGAGGTTTGTTCCCCGCACTTATGGCAGACAAGGAGCCACTCACTCAAATAAAGTGTGTGTGGGGGTTTTGCCGTGCTGGGGAAATGGTGGGGAGAGGCCATGGGAATGGGAGCCCAAAAGAGCCAGAGCAAACCCTCCTGGGAGCCTCGGGGTGCAGAGCAGGGTGAGCCTGGAGGAGGGGGCAGACACAGGCACCCTGATCTCTGAGGAGAGCAAAGAAAATCCTTGGGAACAGCCCAGAGCCTCCCCTCACCTGGGAGCTGCCTTTTCAGGATCAGGAATTTGAGCAATGTTGCTGCAGAGCTGGTGTGGCAGGAGCCCCGCAGGAATCTGGGGGCTGCGGCCTCTGAGGAGCAGAACCCAGGAGAGAGGGAAGTGGGGAGAACCACCCACAGGTCTCCCTGCCCCAGGTAAAACCCTGCCAGGGCCAGGTGGTGAGTGGGGCTGGGTCCCCCCAGCAGCCTCTCACCTGCAATTTTGGAATTTCAGGAGGGGCCACTCAGCCACTTCGAGAAAGTTCAGGTGCCTTTTGGCACAGGCAGAAGATTTCCCCTGAGGCAGCTGGGTGGGGAGCAGAAACACCCCTGTTTTGCAGTGCTGAGCTGGATATTTGGGCGTCCCGGCAAAGGGCAAATCCCTGCGTCCTGTCTGCCACCCCCTGCCGACTGATCCCGCGTGGGCACGGGGACAAAGTGCTGACATGGCTTGGCAGCTTTTGGCTCCAGGGAGGCACCAGGGGAGCTGCGGGTACATGCCTGGGGTACGTCACCCAGTTGTCACCCGACTCCAGCTCGGTGGGGTGAGGGGTGAAAGGCTTCAGTGAACATTAAAAGTGCACAAAGACTTTCAGTGGCTCCACCTCGGGTCCTCCATAAGGAAAAACCCAAGCAGGCAGCTGCCAAACCAGCCGGAAAACCTCAAACTTGCTTTAAAAGGGTCTTAAATGAGGCATCACCAGCACTTGACCTGGCCCTGTCTTTGATCTCCCTGGCTGCTGACAGCATCCTGGCCATCCTGCTCCATGTCCCCAGGGAGGTGACCTCCCCGGCCAGCGCTGGGACACAGGAGCCCCGGGAGCCTGGGAAGCAGCACAGCCACTTGCTCCAGTGCTGCTGGATGGAAACCAAAGTTCCTCTTCAATTCCCAGCAAACAGGCGTTTCGGGGCAGGGGAGCCACGTGCTCCTGCTGGGAAGGAGAGGCCCCCCCTGGCCTGTGCCACCACGCATTCCAGCCTTGCCACATCCCACCAGATGCTTGTTGGAAATCTCTCCCCAAAGTTCAGGGGGCCTCCTGGGCACCCCTCAAGCAAATCCAATCCCCTATATAATGATGCAAACTCTGGGAAATAGTTTTTCCTGTGACATCCCCAGTTATTCTGCTTCCCCACCGACACCAGTCCTGCCTCTGAGCCCAGTGCTCCGTGTCCCAGGAGGTGGCACAACCTCCCGTTGCTGCAGCACCAATCAGGGTCACCTCAGCTCCCCTTGCTGCAGAGCACAAAAACACATCGGAAAGGAGTAGCCCAACATTCCCGTTTGTCCAGCTGCTGATCCCAAGTCCGGATGCTGCAAGACACCCGGAGCTGCGGGGACTGCTGCAATGCTCCCGGGGAGGTAAAGCAGCACAACAACAAGGGCAACTGGATCCTCAGGTCTCTCGCAATGGGCAGCGGCGCCGGGGGCTGCTTTGATGCCAGAGCTCCGGGCTCAGCTCTGCCCCATCAGCACTTCCAGGGAACACCACGGGATTTTGCTCATCGAGGGCAGCCTTGATCAGCACCGGCCAACCTTGGTCAAACCCAAACAGCCCAGCCCTAGCTCATTGTATCAGAGACAACGGCCTGCATGCAAAGAACAACTTCTATTCTCTGTCGTGAATGGCTTCAGTAAAGAGAATTTTCAGGGGGATAATCCAGCAAGAACAGCATGGAGAACAACCACAAGGAAGGCAGAGAGCAGAACGGCTTCACTTAAAGGAGATGGAAGAAATCCACCTGCATTTCACCATCTGCCTCCCTTACCTCAAAGGTCTTCAAACTCACTGTTGCCTTTGCAAGGAGCTGCCATGTCTCCTGAGGATCCCAAGCTGGTGGCAGGGACCCCCCTAGGGCTCATGGCACTGCCACAGCTCAGCCTAACCCAGCATCCCCTGGCCAAACAGTCCCTCTGCCTCCCACTGCACATCCAGGCTGGTCCCTCTCCCCGGGCTGGGCTGTGGGGGGCTCAGCTCAGCCCAGCTGCTCCATGGGGTCAGATGCTCTGCAAAGTGGCAGTAGCTGCAGTGACGAGGCATGGAGAACAGCCCCTGGTCTGAAAGAACATGGTGACTGCACCATTCCCCCCTCCCTGTGCTGGTTCCTTTGCAGAAGTGCCAGCAAGTGCTGGAGCTCTTGATGCCCCTGGAAAAAACAATAATCACACCCTCTAAATAAAGTGAAACCAGTAACAGATCGAGCTGCATGTTCAATGTTGATGTAACTTATGATTGCATTTGCCATGAAATTATTGTTAATTATTCATCCTGGCTAATGCTCAGTTACCACTGATGGCCTCAGAAATTGCAGGGCTGCCTGAGTCACGGCAGAACGCGACATATTACAGCAATAAACAAGATCATATTCTGCCATTTAATGTTATTGTTTAATCAATGGTTGGGGTGTTCTTCCTCTCCTTTATTTGGCTGTTTTGCTTGGGTGTTTTTCTCTGGCTGGGCAGGAAGAGCCAGCAGCCCACAGGGAGCTCTGCCTGCCGGGCCAGATCCTCACCTCTGCTCTTCACCATGGTGGCTGGGGCACCAAGCACGTGCTCTAGTCCCCACACAGCTAATGAGTGTCATTAATGACAATTGCATTGGTCTGAAATGTCCCCAATACCTGTGGTGTGGCTTCCGTAGGATGAGGGATACAGAGAGGGGCTCCCTGGGGGGGTCAGTGGCTTTTCCCCAGCAGACTGGAACACCCAGCTGGTGGTTTGCCACCAGGGCAGGTCTTGGGGGTGACACAGCCCTTATCTCCTCCCATATCCCTGGCCTTGTTGTACCCCAGGAGCAGAATAACTGCTTTGGCCACTGCTTCTTAGGGACAGAAATTTTTATTCATTTCAAGGATACACCCATGACCAGCTAAGCCAACCCAGATGGGACAGGCTCGACCTCCAGGCTCTGCTGCTAGTTCCCAGCCACTGTGGAGCTTCTTGTGCCTGTTGGCTCTCAGGAACCACAGTGTCCTACAGCACAGGGTTTACCCCAAGTTCTGCAGAATGATGTACCATGCCTTCCCCAGGATGGGAGAGAGGCCTCAGGCACAACCTGACTCCCACATGCTGTCACCCTCGGTGCTCCTGCACCAGGGGGGGACGAAGCAGGAAGATGAGAAGGGTGCAGGGTAAGCGGCTCCTTCTTTCTCCTGGAGCAGCTCTAGGGAAGAGCCTCCTCCTTGGGTGGTGTGCAGGTGCTGGAGGCTGTGGGGAGGATGGAGGCCGTGGGGGGTTTGAAGTCTGGTCCCTGGAAAACCTGCCCCTCTGTGCTGGCGGGCTCGGTGAGGGGGGGTGTGCAGTCCTGGCTGTGCTGGCGGCTCAGCCTCCCAGGGGCCTGGGCGCACTCGCAGCACCGCTTGCCAATCAGGTAGGTGGCCTCGACGAGGCTCAGCACAACACAGACACAGGAGGTGACCACCATGAAGAGAGTGAAGATGGTCTTCTCAGTGGGCCGGGAGATGAAGCAGTCTACCACGTTGGGGCAGGGCGACAGCTCGCACTTCACCAGCCGGGGCAGGGTGTAGTTCCTGTAGAAGCGGTAGAAGATGTAGAGGAAGACGATGTCCACAGCAGCCTTGAAGATGAGGCTGAGCAGGTAGGTCCACCAGAGCCCCCCCCGCTTCTTGCCAGGGCTGATGTAGGTGTGGGGGCAGCTGTGCCCCCCGGCAGCGCGGTGCCTCTGCTCCTTGGCCTTCCGATAGGCCACGTGCATGATGACCAGGAGGGACGGGC